CCAATACCTTCCTCTATGCCACCGCGGAGGAGGTGATGCTGGTGCACGGCTCGATCGCCTTTCCCATGACTAAGATGATTGCAGGCATTGGCATGTCCCTGGCGCCGCTGCTCTCGGGCCTGATTATCGATCGATCCGGTTTCCGCGGCTTCTTTATCTCGATGACGGCGCTGGTGTGTATCCGCGCGGTCCTGCTGCTCTGCATCAACATCATCCTCTGGCGTAAGAAAATTCAGCGCAACCAGTTAGCGGCAAAGGCTGCTAAGGAGGCCACAGAAACGACTCCTGTTCAGACGACAGTAATAACGGCAGCAGAGGGTGGTGAGCGTCGGCCTCGTGATGGGAATTAAGGACAGACCCCCGGCTGCTATGAATTCCTGAGTCCCCTTACGTTTATCTGGTCGGTCCGTTTCTTCTTCTTCTTCACTACCTTAATCATCGCCCTCTTCGTGGCAAATATGAAATCAATAAATCATTTACTTGCTCTGTCACAGAAAATGGCAAAACTATCTCGTAGGGCCGCCTAAATATATACTTCCCGCCCAACTTTCTTATGGAATTGGTGGTTAAACATGTGATTCTTGGTTAACGAGTATAAATTAAGATTTGATTGTGTTGAAAGTGATCAAAGGATATTAAATTAAAGCCACTTGTAATTGTTTTAATGAGCTAAATATCATCATCAACATAAATTCCTGTTGCTCAGGCAGCCGATGCCTATTGATGGAAGTTTGACCTTATATTGGCGGAATTTAACGAAAAATTTGGAAAGTCGGGCTATCGAAAATGCAAAAGAAGTTTATTATTATAAGTCAGAGGGAACTAGAACCTCTAAAGATAGTCCTGTCCAGAAAATATAGTCCCCAAGAGAAAATTACCTACCGCAGGCCAGAATCAAATTCCTTGGGGGGGATTCACCTTCGACACCAGACAAATGATTAGAGGAATTCGGAAGAGGACAATATTGATTGCGCTGACCGCCAGAAAACTATTTTCTAAAATAACCGAGAAGATTTTTAATCAGCTGACCCACGAAGACAGCACCTTTCGTTGACATATATCTAATCACTTTGAGTACATAGAGCTTCCTATGGTTTATCAAGATGTGGAACAAATTACACTTCCTATGAGAGGATGATATAAAATTACCCCCGATGATAAGTTTACAGAAAAGCCACGGCATATAGTGGTCATAAAAAGCACTGTAGTATTTTTTGGAAGCATGACGCTGTTAGCTGTTCTTAAGCTTCCCAAAATATCTGGTACCCGCAGGCACACCTTGACAACGTTTTTCTACCGAAATACGAAGGACCTTGCAACAACTATTGAGAATCTGATAAATTTGTCAGGCAAATAAAGACTCCAGGAGTATTATACTAAAAGGGCTTTTGTATCACAGTTAAGCTCTCCGTTAAAATATTTCAAGCTTCCCAGCTCTCTATGGTTAAGAAATTATTTTAATCAGGACGTACAAGCAGTAACTGGTCTCATGAAATGTTAACCAAGATCCTAGAATGTGTGTTCGACTAGGAAGAATAACTTCCGTAGGCTTGTAATATTGAATATCGTTTATTGCGGTTGCACAATATTTCAGTCATGGTAGGATGCTGTTTTTTGCACGAGTTGGTTTCCGGGTGCGTGCAACGACTGCGCTTGGTTAAATAATGACTACGTAGGAGGTTTGTTTTTCACATTGATAATTGGTGTCTTCAAAAACCAAAATATGCTTTACCTAAATCGCACAAAAGATATTTCTTCTTGTACGCCTTTAGCAGAAAATCACGGTTTCTTCAAAATATCCGCTTAAAAGAAGTGGATGTATCCCCTTTAAAAAGCGGTTCCCACTCCTGAATAACTTTTAAAAGTAATAATTTGTCACTAAGAATATACCATGGACTATATTGTATACTTCATAGGGAATATTTAAAAACGGAGAGATGCCATGCCATTTGAACGGACAGCAAGGATTCCTTATGAACAACACCGAAGTTTACTATGCATAACTACCCCGTTATTTCTTTTAGTTTGTTAATTGGCTTTGTTATTTAGTTTTGTTAGTTTTAGTTCAGTGTGAGCTTTAATTTAGTTTAGTTTAGTGTAGTTCAATACCATTCCGTTTTACTTTAGTCCATTTTTAGTTTACGATTTAGTTTTATTAGTTTTAGTTTAGTTTTAGTTTTATTAGTTTGCCTTTTAGATTTTTATTTATTTTCCTTTCCTATTATTACTGGTCCCGTAGTATGCAAACCTGGGCTGTTTTGGTATTTTGGTGTTTTTTATAAGGAATAATTACTGAATGAATATTTAACGGCCTTAAAAAAACTTATAATTGGAAACTTTGTTACGACTGAAAGCTAATCCTTCTGTGCTCGTTAATTTCCTTGGAAATTAATTCTTTGGAAGTTGGAGTCGGTCAGCGAATTCGAGGTCCGTAGGCTGAGGAACCCACTGATAAGTCGGACCCCTCGCATTTGTGGCGAACAGCGGCAGGATACTGGCGAACCACGCGTGTTTGGGCTTTTAGCTAGTACCTGTGCAGCCAGTATGGTAATCAAACTCCCCTCTTTTGCATAGAAAAATTGACGTACACTTAATTTTCTTTCAAATTAGCATACGAAAAGAAACATTTGTTATAAAATACGCTGTAATTTACAAGCGTGTGGAGAATCAGGAACAAATTCATAGTACTTTGATAGTAAAAATATTTACCGGCAACAGTAGCTTATGTAGACCCCCTCAATAACCCCTACTCCTAGCATAGTGTCCTACGAAAACGGTATTTATAGGGTTTTGTGGGGGGGGGATTACGATACGCAGTGAAATATACTTTACTAACTGCTTTATGCGTTTTTATTTTATTTTATTTTATTTAGAAGTGTTATTGATTTATATCTGCAGGTTTCTTGAAATTCTCGAAAAATAGAAGTGGTGATTAGGAGGTCGTCTACTTCAACTTACCTGCGGTCCAACTTACCATTCTGGAGTTAGATTAGTATAGCCCGCGGCACGAAGCGACGCGCACATCTTGAACTTACATGCGGAACAACTTACTCCCAGCGGCCGTGGGAAGCAACTTCGACTACAGTTTTTCACTTGAAACTTACTTCTACTAATTTTCTTCTCTGCCTGTCCTATTTCCCCACCCCCAAAACCCTATTACTTCCGTTTTCGTAGGACAAAATGCTGGCAGAAGGGATATATGAGGGGGACTACAAAAAGCTACCTTTGCCTTTTTACCGAGTGTGATTGCTGCAGACGGCCAAAAAACAAACTACATTTCGAAGTTGGCATTCTGACGAGAGTGGCGTGTCTTGGGATATGCTGCACGATAATAAACAGTAAAATTCCTTCCGAATACAAAGTGCATTTCAGTATGTCAGTTGACATTTTATGAGATTGGTCATTGACTGTAACTAAAATCTTGCGCACTGAAACGTCAGTGCATATGGACCAGGAAACGCTACATACGGTTACGAAGTCATTGAGTACTGGCTTTTATTTCTTGACATGATTATTTTGGCTGGCTGGACAACATCTTAAAACAAATCCTCCATAGAACAAAACATAAGGTAACTGGGGGCGTGCGTTCAGCTGGCATGGATTGAATGGGACATTACCTAGATTTTACGATATTTAGTTGATTATAGCTCTTTCAATCAGACCCTCAGACTCTATATTCTAATGACAGTCTGTCTTCGAAGGCATCTCATACACCAATAAACTTCCACTCACTTGATATGCTAAATAGTTTTGACAGATGTTCAGCCAGGAAATATTTTCAAAGACGAAATTATATCTGATCTTCAAGGAAGCAAGTTTGGCGAACGTATGATTTTGATTATTCAGCATCAGGTATTTACAATAATCTACGCGCGGTTAGAGTAACAAAATTATAAGCATCCAATAAACAGTAAGTAAGGGGAAGAGGACTGAGAGTGTTCAAATATAAAGGAGTTAGAGAGGGGGAGGGGGAGGTGTCCGACAATTAGTTAATGTCGCTGTGCCGTTGCTGTAACGCGACATGGTAGGAGGTGTGAAAACGTACACTAAGTTAGGCGTCGACCAAGGGAGCCATAGGGCCCGTAAAAACGTGTGGTCTGCTGAACGATTGCATCGTTTACGGACTTAGGGTTAGGATACAGTAACAGGGATCCTTGGTAGACTTTTGTGCTGGGCCACCCCTATTACCGGGTGTCTCCATTCCCGTGGCGTACCGGTTTTCGAATCTTTTGCATCCCAGCTCGAGACTGTAGTGTGGCCTCAAAAGAGCGAACAACGACAGAATATTAATTTCAGTGTCTGTGTGCATCTTTTTTCTTCACCGAGAACGTCTTATTTATCTTCTACGATTTTTGTTCCCGGACTCGCAAGCCTATCCTGTCCTGCCCTTGCGGCTTTGAATTGGTTGGCCTTCGGGTGGATCAGATTGCTTTCACTTTTCCGCGAGTCAAGTTTTTACCTTCGGTCATCTTTCTGCCTATTTTTATGTGCTTATTTAAACAACACCGATTAACAAGGTATACAGCATCGTTTTAAGCCTTTTTCCACGATTTTTATACCTTTTCCCGTATACCTCACCTGTAAAACCCTATTGCCACAGTTCCGTAGCACAATCGACTATTTCACCGGTTTTTCTAGTAGTGCCACGTATTGGGCTTCCGCCCAAAGTTTAAATGTTCGGTAATAGAAAGTGAAGAAGTGAAGCGATAGCCTATTTATTTGTTTTATTGTTCTGCAGAAACTTGGCAGTTTGGCAGGAAAATTTCGAACGAGCTTCCGGGAAGAGCTTATCCTGTATCGCTTTTTCAGACGTAGGGGTTGTATAGTTTCTATAGATCTACCGTGAACCACTCGCGCAGGAGGTTGATAATTATTATCTTTCGGATGCCTAAAAGGATTCGCATTTTCGGACACCTAGAAAGTCCTTGATGTACGTTCAGCTATCGCTAATGGAACTACCTCGCCCCGTACTGCCTTGGACCTCTGGCTTGTTAGCCGTTGTCAGCTAGTCATACCCAACCCCAAATGTTGCATCACCCGAGGCTTTAACTCGCGAAATTTTTGATCAGAAGGCTAACTTCCTAATTATTGAGCCACGGGCGGCTACTGTCAGGTCCCGCGAAATGAGACCCAATGCAGGGCGGAAAGAGTGAGTTCCATTAGCGGCCGGTGAACGTTCATCAACGAGTGTCAATATCACCCGATCTAAAACCCAAAAAAACGAGCTAGTGGCTTAATGGTTAGGCCGTTAGACTCGGGTGGTGCATGACTTTGAGTTTGGCGTGGCTTTCTTACGACAGCTTATAAGCCAGAAATGGCCATTATAGTCTCCCTTTAATTTGCCTGGAAT